CATCAATTTCCCTTGTTCGATTTTTATTTAAAAAGCTGTCGGCATTTTCCGATACCTTTCGATAGAGCATCAAAAAGAGTTCCATTCGCTATGCCGAATTTTGCTATGCCGATTGACGCTGTGCCGATTTCCGCTATGCCGAATTTTCGCTATACCGAATTTTCACTATGCCGAATTTTCACTATACCGAATTTCGCTATGGCGAATTTTTGGTATACCGAATTTTCACCATGCCGATTTTCTCGATACCGAATTTTCACCATGCCGAATCTTAGCCATACCAATTTTGATAAGCGGTATGTTCCCCAATTTTTACTATTTTTCCAAATAAGATGGGCCTAGAAAGTTAGAGTTAGCCTAGAAATTTCCAAAAACTCGGGCAGATTGTAGGTCCCGTAGGCGCAGCAGATTTTTTGTTGCACCGCAAAGTCCCAACCGATCTTAGTTATTAACATTAGTAGAGACTATTAGTAGTAAAGTAGCAAAAATTCGGCATAGCGAAATTCGGTATAGCGAAATTCGGCATAGCGAAAATTCGGCATAGTGAAAATTCGGCACAGTGAAAATTCGGCATAGTGAAATTCGGCATAGCGAAAATTCGGCATACCAATAATCGGCATACTGTAAATCGGCACAGCGAAAATCGGCACAGCAAGTATTTACCCATCAAAAACTATAAGAAAAGTTTTAATTACAACTCAAAACAATGTAATATAAAATAGTTATAGTTAAAAATAGCCGTTCAGGTACAGAGTACAGAGTATTGCTTATTAGGGCAACAGATCCAAAAACGTATTTGAAACTGTTTGAAACACATTTTTTCAGTTCAATCTACCCGGACTGGCGGGGATCAGCCCCCCAGATTGGCGGCGATATGGTACGGTTTTCTAAACCTTCGATTTAATTCTTTTTACCCAACGCTTTTGTAGATTTCAATTGCATAATTAACTTTGAAAATTTAACTTAATAATTTAATTCATTAGTTGATTATAAAATTCAGGCCGGCAACCTTCCCAGCGGCTCGGACATGGCCAGTCTGCTGGCGTTCGCCACGAACCATGTGGGTTTTTTGAGGTTTGAAATTGTAGGATTTCAATTCAATTAGCATTTTATTGATAAACTACTATTAATATGAACTGGAAGATCTTAAGTGGCTCGAATACCATAGCCTATAAAAATCCATACTTCGGGTGCATGGCTGAAAAAAAATAGGTTTCATCAAATTATTACTCTCCGCGTGCAAGCTGCCTTCTATTCCATCCTTTGTTTCGCGGATATTAGAAAGAAACAATAAAAACATAGATTCAATTTAAATTTAGATCATTCTCAATATACGATTAATCCGATTTTTTAAAAAAATGTGTTGCGAAAAATTCACAGGTTTAGCGCTGAAATGAAGGATCAATGGTCCGTAGTGTTTTTCTAATCCTTACTTTTTGTCGTTGGTAAACCGGAGGTTTCAAAAATTTCCTAGAATAGGTATTTCACCCTGCAAATCACCGGAAACAAAATACGATGTTTTTAAGCGGCTATGGAAGACGATATATACCTTGCCATTTAATTAATTAAATTAACGAAGCGATTTCAATTTTATAGTATTTTTTGTAAATAATTTTTACAGCAAATGGAGCGTGAGAATTCGCTGGAGACGAGCGTGGCCGGTCCCCTGCATCCACTGTCCGTATTGAGACCCATTTCAACGGGGGATCCGGATCGGGATGCCGAACATATCACTGGTATGTTTCAAGTCGAAGGAAGCTTTGAAAAGCAATACTTATTTTAAATAATAAAAACTTGAAAACACTTTTTAAATAAAAATTTAACCTGTGATGGAAATTTCCTCGTTGAAAATGGATTTTGAAGAACTTCCCCTTTGACGAGTGATTGTCGAAATTCCGATGAAACCGGAGTAGTTCTTTTTCACAACATATTTCTGCAATATCCGGTCGATTTTTCGAACGCTTTATTAACGTAAATTAAGTCATTTAAGAATACGGGGTTCTCTTTCATTATCGGGGGGGGGGGCAATTTTTATCTAAGGATCCCATTTTATTTGCTAATATAAAAGCGGAAGTGCTTCTAAACTGTTTTTTTCTACGATCCTATACGTAAGATAATATGTACGAACAAATTAAAATCAAAAAAAACGGCAGATTGAAATGGAAATAATGGCGATTTTTCGATCAGAATTTTATCGGAGAATCTGTTTAGGGTTTTTTAAAGTCTTGCCACTTGAAATATTGTTCGATTTAAAAAACGCTATTAAAATACTTACTATTATATTACTAGGAATTTTTGGAACGGTGTTGTAAGCTGTTTCTGCGTATAATTCCAACCTCTCAAAAAAGTGTTCGTTTTTGAAAATTAGTGTTCCAAAATTCTGCCTAGAGTGGATGAACAATTCCTGATGATTATTAGGCAGATAGGGTTGGACAAAATATTTTGCAATTTTTTCGAAATCGATTCCCTAACATAAGTCAGCGCCATTTTTAAGAATATGGTTTTTTATATTGTTGTTTTAATAGTTTTTATAGTTTGAGCCCTAATTTAATAGTTTAGCATAGTTTTTTAATATCCGTTAAGATTAACGGTAATTTTTAGCTTTTTCTGAGGAGTATGTTTTATTTAAAGCTTTTAGAATGCTCTGCCGCCTGAATTATTGTTATAAAATTGATTCTATATTAGTTTCTGAAAAATCGAGAATGCATTAACACATTATTAAACAGTTTTTTGTAAAAACCTTTAAAAATTGAACTAAATCAGGCGTAATATTTATCAAGCCGAATTAAAATGATTTAGATGCCCCGGGTTCGGCGATAGATTCGGCATCAGTGTCGGATCATGTCGCTCCCCACAGCTCCTCCCTGCCCCATATTTCTCCGCAACAAGAAGAGGATCCGGCTCGCATGTTTTGTAAGTTTAATTCATTTTAATAAAATGAATGTTTGACGAATTTTCTCTAACTAAAAACGAATACATTGTGATATTCTCATGAGCTTCGGGATTTGGAATAGCTTGTAATCTTTGCACAAAAAAGTGTTTCATATTATTTTCTACACAAACCGGAAAATCGGGATGTAATGTCAACACGGCCCTTTATCCTAAATTCTTTGCAATTTAATTGTCGATTTTAATTAGGATAATTATTGGTGAAATGGGGTAAATATAGGATAACGGCCGAACTTTTCTCGGGCATTTTCAATATTTTCGATATTTTTGAAAATGCGATTCGATAAGGGCCGAAAAATGTACTAAAAGCTTTTTATAATGGAAAACAAAAGACTTGGAGAAATTATAGTTTGTGATCGAAAATCTATCGTTTTGTAGTTTATTAATGTAAATTTAAAGTTTTTACGTTTAGAAATAAAAGAAACACGTCCCTTAAAGTTTTTACGCTTAGAAATTTTGCAAAATAGAAACAAACGAAATTAGGAAGGTTATTGAAGATATTAAAGAAAACTATTAAAGAAAAATTGGATATTAAAGAAATACTAAATAAAAATAAAGCAATAGATCTCGAATTAAGATTCAGCTGATTAGACCTTCATGCTTTTGGCGAACTTTGAAAATGGATGAAACATTGATTTTTTTTTTTTGCAGGTTTGTCGCTGGCCGACCCGCTGCGCCGTATCAAGCAGAAAAATCCGGTATTGTACGTCGAGCTGAAGCGGCGGTTGTCTACCATTGTATTTGACGCGGAAATGGATACGGTACAGGTACTTTATGTAGAAATATAATAACGCAAAATTAGGATGATTTAACCTTTAAATAATCAAAAAAGCATTTAAAAGGCCGTCCGCGACTCACCCGAACAGGCCCCCTTATGACTTGGCACAGTTTTTTTCGACCCCGTTTTTTTGACGGCATCGGATAGAGCATGGTCAAATTAGTAGGGCTGCATAGTTTTGAAAGTTTCAAAAGTTTAATTTTGGGGTTTAAATGAACGTTAAAGTTGCCGACCTCAGAAAACTATCTCGAAAAATACCCAACAAAATTTGCTAAAAATTTGTGACAATACTAATTTTGGGGTGGGGATCATTTCTCTAATACATTGTGAAACATGAAAATGACCGGAACGTGATTAAAAGGCCGTCCGCCAGCCACCCGACCTGTCCCCATTATGGCTTGGCACAGTTTTTTTCGACCCTGTTTTTTTGACGGCATCGGATAGAGCATGATCGAATTAGTGGGGCCATATAGTTTTGAAAGTTTAAAAAGTTGTTTTTTGGGGTTTAAAGGGCCGTTAAACTTGCCGACATCGAAAACTTATCTCGAAAATTACTGGACCAAATTTGCTGAAAATTTGTGACTATACCTAATTTGGGATGGAGATCATTTCTCTAATACATTTCGAAAGCTGAAAATGGCTGGAACATAGGAATCTCGCGTACTAAAAACAGTTTTTTACGATTTTCTACTTAATGGGAAATCGGCGGCATCCTGAAAATAGCATAGAAAGATGCGCCAATTTTTTCTACGTCGAATGATGTTTCTTTTAGGATGCCGCCGTTTTCCCATCATCTAGAAAAGTGGTGATCTCTAGAATCAACAAAAGTGGCCTTAGAAGGTCGGGAGCTGCGAATGAGAAATATAAAGGATTGCGGAAAGCATCTAAAGATCAATGCCACCCATTATCAAAAAAGAGCAAAATTAAATTCCTCATCTACGCGAAATTGAGTACAGAGGGGAATCGAACCCGCGATGGTCCGCCTGGGGGCTCTGGGGGACAGAGGCTAGGCTAGAGGGCGCCGCCACCTCCCAGGCGAACGACCCGAGTTCAATTCCAGCCCCCTTTTAGAAACCGAATTTCTTTTTGCTCTTTTTTGCCATTGACTTGGCTGCGCTTCTAGAAGCAAGTGGGTGACTCCCCGTTTGAAAATCTGGAAATTTTTCTTTTTTTCATTAAGAAAATGCCGTTTTTATAGATGATGGGAAAACGGCGGCATCCTAAAAGAAACATCATTCGACGTAGAAAAAATTGGCGCATCTTTTTATGCTATTTTCAGGATGCCGCAGATTTCCCATTAAGTAGAAAATCGTAAAAAACTGTTTTTAGTACGCGAGATTCCTATGTTCCAGCCATTTTCAGCTTTCGAAATGTATTAGAGAAATGATCTCCATCCCAAATTAGGTATAGTCACAAATTTTCAGCAAATTTGGTCCAGTAATTTTCGAGATAAGTTTTCGATGTCGGCAAGTTTAACGGCCCTTTAAACCCCAAAAAAAACAACTTTTTAAATTTCAAAACTATATGGCCCCACTAATTCGATCATGCTCTATCCGATGCCGTCAAAAAAACAGGGTCGAAAAAAACTGTGCCAAGCCTAGTTCGGTCCTCTCGCAAACGGCCTTTTAAATCAAATACTAAAAACAGTTTTTCGACATTTTCGACATTTTAGAGAAACCGGCGCATATTGGCTATGTCATGAGCAGACGCACCTAAAGTTTCTGCATCGAATGGTGTATTGCTTGATATGCGCCGACTTCTCTAAAAATTAGTTTTATCCGCTTTTATGTGTGAAAATGGGGGTAAAATTGACCCCGAAAAATGAAAATTTTTTCTTTCGAAAAATCTGAGATATAGAAATGCATCTAGAGCTCGAGACGAATCGATTGCAGAAAAGAGCAAAAAAGAAATTCGGCTTCTGAGAGGGGGCTGGGATTGAACTGGCGCCACCTCGGGATTGGCACGCCGACGCTCTACTCATTGCGCCACGGGGCTCCCAGGCGGAGGGTCCGGGTTCGATTCCGCGACATCGAAAGAAGCCGAATTTCTTTTTGGCTTTTTTTGCAATCGATTCGTCTCGAGCTCTAGATGCATTTCTATATCTCAGATTTTTCGAAAGCAAAAATTTTCATTTTTCGGGGTCAATTTTACCCCATTTTCACACATAAAAGCGGATAAACTATTTTAGAGAAGTCGCGCATATCAAGCAATACACCATTCGATGCAGAAACTTTGGTGCGTCTGCTCATGACACCATACTCCGGTTTCTCTAAAATGTCGAAAATGTCGAAAAACTGTTTTTAGTATTTGATTTAATCACGTTCCGGTCATTTTCATGTTTCACAATGTATTAGAGAAAGATCCCCACCCCAAAATTAGTATTGTCACAAATTTTGAGCAAATTTTGTTGGGTATTTTTCGAGATAGTTTTCTGAGGTCGGCAACTTTAACGTTCATTTAAACCCCAAAATTAAACTTTTGAAACTTTCAAAACTATGCAGCCCTACTAATTTGACCATGCTCTATCCGATGCCGTCAAAAAAACGGGGTCGAAAAAAACTGTGCCAAGTCTTGTTCGGGTGGCTCGCAAACGGTCTTTTAAACATCAGATCGTCGCAGGATAGCCGAACTACCTTGAGGATATGCTGCAAAAAAAGATGAAACTCGTTTTCTGAGCCATCAGAAAAATGCAGTTATTTTTAAAATTCCGTTATAGCTCCCCCCCCCCCTCGTTAGGCAGCCTTTACCTTGAAGGAATGATTTAAAACCTGAAAAAAATATATATAAAATCGTAATTTTTACGCCATTTTTCGTCCGTAGCTACCGTCCCGTAGTACTATCAAGAACTTACCTAAAGAATTTGTTTTTCGTGAATTTCGGTGTTTTTTCAAGCAGTAAATTTAAAAAATTACAATTTTGGGATTTGGGAAAGCAAACCGAGACCATTAACAGAAAATTTTTGCAAAATTCTTGGCCATGAGTGGAAACATTGATTTTTTTTTATGCACATGGCGCCCAGATTTCGAGCAATTAGGGAGGCACTAAATGAACCTAATTTGTCTTTATTTTTTTATTAACTTGAGAATAACACTCGTGATATTTCTATCAATATAATTTAAGGATTCTACGAATTTTTAATTTTTTTAGAAAAGCACAGATTGAGCTGGTACTAACGGCGATGCTTTGAGAAAATGTCCCAAGAAAAACGAAACATTATTTTTTTTAATATTTTGCTACACGCAACTTTTAAAACCAGGGTACTGGGCTGTTAGCAGGGGGAGAACTAGTTTTTCTTTTACGCCTATACTGTTTCCGAGCTGTTTACTATATCAATAATGCATTTTTTATAATGCTTGTCGTGGTTTTGAGAGCTAGAAAGCTATAAAAAATATTTTAAACATTTTTTTGAAAGTTTATGAGCTTTTTATATCTAAAAATTGTGTAAAATCTATAAAAATAGTTTAGATTTTGATAAACGGCCCACAAGATTACTGGAAAAAATTAGTTTCGCCCCGCTAACCCCCCGGTAAGAGTCCAGTACCAGACATTCTTATTTTTTAATTTTTCTAGGCTTAAATTAATCCCGAAAATCCAAAAACATTAAATAAAGTTAACGCTGTTTCAGGCCGACTCGCAGGAGCCGCGCACGCCCACCGAAAGCGACGACCGTATGGAGTAGCCAATTTGCATTTTCCAAAAAAAAATGCAACACCTTTTTTTACCGCTACAATCCTGCCCTCCGGATGCAAATTTTTCGCAAAAAAATGTGGTTACGGTAGCATTTTGCAATTCCCGCACCAAATGATTAAAATTAAGTATTTTTCCTCCAGATATTTTCTATTAAAATTACGGTATTTTTTTGCGCTGCGACTACTGTATGTTGTATGTTAAATTTTTTGCGTATTTTCGTGTGTATTTTGGTTTTGAATTTGGCGATTTCCTCCCCACCCTTTTCCCGGAAAAAACAAAGCCGCAGCGCGGTCCACCTTTTAGGGACAAATTTGGGGGGCCGCGTAGACCAGCGATTTTTGTAGTTTAATTTTTAAGGGAACGAAACTGCAAAAACGCTTTATTTATTTTTAGCTGAATTAAACCACAAAAAATGGCTTTTGTAGTTTTATTTTTAAAGAATAACAACAATAACAAAAACAGTCTTTGTAGTTTGAATTTAAGCTAAATTAAACCACAAAAAACCTGGCTTTGATAGTTTTATTGGTAAAACAAATTAAACTACAAATTGCCTATTTTAGTTTAATTTTTAGCCAAGTTAAAATACAAAAAATATTAGATGTAGTTTGCTTTTTAACTTAATTAACTACAATGATAGCTTTTGTATTTGCATTTTTGGATACATTAAACTACAAAATACTACGGTCCGCGCGGCCCCACCTATACTGTACGTAGCCCTGCTAACAACATGTAATTTAAATGTATCTGTCATTTTTGGGTTTTTTGGCCTGCCCCCCTCCTTACTGTAGGCGTATTTTTGGAAGGTAAAATGATTAGTTATTTCTAACACGATGAATTATCAGCAGGTAAAAATATCAATTTTTTTAAATTTTCCAAAACATTTTTTTGCGAAAAAGTTTTTTGGATTAAAAAATTAATTTGAATTAATCTACGCTAGTTTTAAAACAAATATATTTTGGATTTAAAATTTAAATATCTTCGTGAATAAGTTAGTGTTTAACACAAAATGTTTAGATTTTTCGAATTTTTAGAAAAATGTTTCACGAAAAAGCGTGAATCCGTCGCGATTTTTGGTGGCAATTAGGAGATCCCGGAGCACTGGAACACCCTGAATTTAATTGTCTGCAAAATCAAGATTTTTCCCTCCCAAAATACCCGCCAATACCCGTAATCCTCCCCCCTTTCCCACCCCGGAAATCGGTCAGCACCCCACCGGTAATTAGATATTCAATTACTCGAAAAAATCGAGCAGGCAGGATTTGGCTTTAAAGGTTTAGCAATTTCATGATAAGACGTATTTCCATATTTTCCCTAAATTTTAGAGATTTTTAACGGTTTCTAAATGATTCAAATTGTCAACAAAAAATCAAAAAAAAGTTTTGAAAATCAATGTTTCGAAAAATTTCAAAACCCGGAAAACCAGGATTTATTCAGTTGATTGTGCATCGTAGCTGGCGTGCCTAATAAATAAAATCAAAATAAACAAACCCTAAAGCGTCCTTTTAAAAAATTGATAATCCAAAAATTAAAAAATTCTTAAAAATCCCGAATCCTGTGTTCTCGATTTTCGCAGTGCATAGCAAGAATCCGGTCCCGCCGTCTTGACAGGTAAAAGGCCCTCTTTCTTGAACCCCCACCCCACCGCCCCAAATTCAGATTACGCGTAGAAGCCCCCGGTTAGAGCATTGGAGTTAAAGTGGCCCGGCAGGCCCTGGCTATGGATTTTGGCTATAGACTATCCATCTCTAGACTTATTTTTTGGAGATAATATGTTCCAGAAAATATTAAAAATCTAATTAATTTTCAATCGATAATACCAAATATTGAACAGATAAAGCAAAAGGATCTTTTCGCGCCCGCGACATGCAGCGCGTCTGCCTCGATTTTCATGACTTAATGGATTAAGAAATCTTAATAGCAACAAGCGGTGCGTGCGCGTTGCGTGTCGCGGGTTCGTAAAAATCCTGGAGTTCCATATTCTCTGGATTTTGACGCGCCGCGACACGCAACGCGCGTTGGATTTTCGTTTCGTTGTTGATGGCGACCGCTTCAACGCAGCCATCCGTTGCGTGTTGCGTGGTGACAAAAAAGCCATAAAAATCCTTAACGCAAAAATTCATAGCCATGCCGTAGCCGTCCCTTTAATGCCCCTTTAAATAGTATTCCATATTCTTACTGTATTCCCTTGATTTTCCCGGTGAAACCGCCTATACAACTGGTTTAGTTATTTAGCGTGTTGAAGACGGCCGATTTTTTTTGGTGTTTCGGCTCCTATTAAAGCGACGGCAGATTAGCGGAATAACGATTTCTCGAATTCGGGCATTTTTCTGAAACATCAAATTTTCCGCGAACAAGCTTAAAGGTCTTAATATTTGAAAGGAATTTTTGCCTTTTTAATCAATTTTATGAAAAATTCTAGAACTAAATGATTTTTGAAACCTTTCTTTTTCATTTTTCGCTTAATCGCGGTTATACATTCAGGTCAAGAAAATTTCATGAGGCCCTTTTTCAGAATTACCACCGTCAAAATTGCAAATTGTTTATTTGGATTTTTTTTCTAAATTTATCAAGTTAAAAAAACAAAATTTAAGTAAATTTAAGATTAATCCAGCAATACTGGGTGCCCAAAAATCCTGGACCAATAATTTTTTTGAAACGCACGCTTTTCAAAAATTTAAGTGGACGATCTTTTTTGAAAAACAACTTTTAAAAGCATATGCTTTGAAATTGGCATTCAATTAATTATGCGCATAAATTCAAACATTTTGAAACGTAAAAATTGAAATATATTTTTCATTCAAAATTCATTCAAAATTTTATATTTTACGGTTAATCACTGATTTCTCAGCACGAAAAAAATTGGCCGTTAAAATACCACCCCCGGTTAGCGCCTCTCCCAGATAGTTTCCTATCAAAAAATTGTATGTTTTTTGTATAAAAAAATTTAGTTACCGCTATTATTATTATTACTATTTTCTATTATTCCCCGATCAATATCTAGTCCATATAAAGATATATCTCGCCCACCCCGACTGTCGACAGGAATCCGGTGTAGCCCTTGATGTTGATTTCCCATTTCCCCCCTTTTCCACTCCCCATTTTTCGTTCGCTTGTAGATTCTCGCTTTCCGATAAATCCGGTGACCAGAATTGGCAACGCGGAAGATTGATGAAAAATAGATACCGTAATCATACATTAAAATGCAAATTTTAGCAAATCGACCTTTTTCAAAAAATGTGTTTCGGAAAAATCAAAATTTGGAAAAGAATTTTTGCTGGCATTAAATGCATATTTTGAGAAAATTTGTCCTTTAAAAACACAAGGATATTGTCGATTTCAAATAAAAATGCCAAAATAAATGTAAAATTGTTTAGAAGCCATCTTCTAGACAATTTATTCAAACGAACACCAAAAAAGACAAAGAAAACAGACATAAACATAGACACACACGAAAATCATCATCATAAAACACGTATGCGGGGCGGCGCACGAGGGAATGGCAAGCAAAAAAAGCGGCGGAAACAAGCTAAGGGGGCTAAATTGCACAGAAATTTCATAACAAGAACACAGGCATTCCAATAAAAAAAAACACTCCCTGTCATTGTCCCTTTAAAGGGATGGGCAAGGCGTGTGGCTATGGATTTTATCGGCTAGCGAATATTGATTGAATTTTCCGAATCCGTAACACGCGACGCGCTCTCCGATTATTACCGCAGGTGTAGGTGTTATAAACGATTACGCAATGAAAGGCGGGTTGCGTTGCGTGCGCGCGGCGCGGCAAAATCCAGAATAACCGCGTAAAACTAAAATAAATCATGATTTTTATGAGCCTATGACATCGCGTTTGCCTTCGCTTCAGGTGGTGCGAATCGATTACGCCATTAAAAGACGTGCAAACGCGTTGTGCGTCTTCGCAGCGCGGCAAAATCCACATGAAACCAAAACCCTACAACTTTTTGTGGCTAAGAAATCCTTATGATATTTGCCTTACGCGCGACACGCAACGCGTTTGTCTTCGCGTCATGTTCCTAATCGATTACGCAATCAAAAAACGTGCGCACGTTCGCGCCGCACCTAGAAAATCCATAGCCGACACTTGCGCGCCCCCTTAAAAAGAAAAATCATTATAACAGGCTAGCGCAAGACATTTGTGCTGTCGATGTCATGAGATGGGGAGAAACTAACGAATTCCGATGCAAAAAAAAACAAAAACAAGCTCAGTATAACGGCAGATTACCTTCCATTTTGAGCAACGAGTATTTGTCAAGCTAAATATATGGGGTACGGGCGGCTACAGTTAGCGTAGTGACAACGGGGGGTAATGGCGCGTAGCCGACGTCGTCTAATATTCGATTTCCGCGAATCGCTTCAGGTTGCACGTCGCGTACTTCGTGCCGCTCAGGTCGCCGATCCGGTCGCAAATCGACAGCACCTGAAAATGGGTTTTGAAGCGATTGAAGCCGCAAAACGGTGAAATCAGGAAACGGCCTACATAATCGAGCTGCTGCTTCGTGTGGTCGGCCGACATGCAGAAGCGGATTCGGGCCTTGGTGAGGGGAGTGGCCGGGGCACCGACCTAAATTTAACGTTTAGAAAAGGCTGAGAAACCGGACGAACCTGAACCGCTCCAATCCCATATTGAAGGGTCGCCCGGCCGAAGTAACTAAACGGAAATTCTAGAATCTAAACGGAAATTCTAGAATCTAAATGGAAATAAAATAGAAATAAACCTAAATCTAAAACTAAATCAATAGAAATCTAAAATAGAAATAAACCTATCAAAATAAAAAAATCCAAATAAAGCTAAATTTAAAAAATAAACAAACCTAAATTTAATCTAATTCAAATTAAAAACAGAAATAAATGTATCTAGATAAAACTAAATAAAAATAAGTAAAGCTAAATTGAAATCTAAATAAAATAGAAACAAGGATAAAGCTTTTATTGGTTCCGCTAACTCCGCACAAAAACTACTCACACAACTTTCGTCGTGTGGAACGTCATCAGCGGCACGACGGGGCTGTCGTCGTGGCCGTAGATCAGGAAACCGAGGGCCTAAAACAGCATACATCATCTAGTCATCCAAAACGCCCCCACCTTCAGCTTGGCCCGGAAGTACCGCGAATTCCGGAGCAAATTGTCGGCCTTGTTGCGCCCGATCTGGGTCCCGTCCTCGCCGTTCATAATCTAAAGCGCGAAAAGTAAGATAAAAATTGAGGTGTTGGCGCAATAGCGGCGATAGCCAAGTAAAATTTAACTATATTTAAAGTGGAAAAACAATAAAAAAGGTTCTTTCGCAGTATCGGGGGGCAATTTTTTGTATTAGCCTAGAACTGCCTAGTAAATTAATAGGAAATATTTTCATGATGTTTTTAAGTACATTAAAACCAACTTTTAACTAGAAAAACTATCCACAAACTTTGAAAAATTTTTCAAAAAGTCGAAATTTTGGTCAAAAAACGGCCATTTTTGGTCGAAAAAAACTTTTTAATGCAATTTGTAAAGCTTTTAAGTTTAGGAATATCCTTAGAAATCCGGATCCTTAGAAAAAAAGCTTCCCCTCCACGCGAATCCTAAAGAACCAAATTCGCTTTCCACACCCTTCCTGCTGCTGATGACCTGGGCGATGAGCAGGGCAGCATCGGCGGGCCGTAGCAAGCGCCGGCCGAGTTGACGCGCAGGTGCGAGATGGTCGACTGAAGCGGAAGACGGGTATTAAGACAAAATTGACATTGATACCTTTTCCCCGCCAATATATCCGCCGGCGGCGGCGAAGCTCTTCGTCAGCGTGCCCATCATCAGGTCGACGTCGTGGGGGTCGGCGCCCCAGTACTCGACGACACCCTTTCCAGTTGGGCCCAGGGCTCCTGAAATAGGAGATTAATACAATCGGATAGAAAATGTCTGCTAAACCGGTAATGAGCCAATTTTTTTGGTTTAAAGCTTTCCAAAACAAGAAACACTTATTTAAAACTTCCATGGTCTCTTTACAGATTAGCGTTAACCGGAGTAGGTATTTACATCTTAAGAAAAAAAATGCCCATATTTTTCGATTTCACGGTCTCGCCGAAAGATTGCCTCAGTTTTTCCAAAAAAAATGGGTTTATTAAAACATAAATTTAGCAGAAAAACAAAATTTCTTTCGGTTCTTTCGCATTATCGGGAGGGACCAATTTTTTTTCTTAGGCTCTATTTTTTTAATATAAATTTTTAAATTTTTAAAGTTGCTAAATGGTTTTTGACTAGTCCTAAGCGTAAACACTTCACAATTTTTTTATTAAAAAAATATCAAATTTTTGATCAAATTTCGACTTTTCCGGCATTATTGAACATTTTTAGATCGTTTTTCTAGTTGAAATATATAGTCTAGATTACTAAAAACACTTTCTATTAACTTGCCACCCATTTCTAGACTTGTACAAAACAGTTCGTGCCTCCCCGATAATGCGAAAGAACCCAGGTCTCAAAATCTATAAAAAACCTGAAAAACATTTTAATGGGTTGATTCAGCCAGTCCCTCGCGCCAAAACCCACCAACGGAATGCGCCTCGTCGAGGAACAGATAGGCGCGGTACTTCTTCTTGACGGCGATGAACGAGGGCAAATCGACGATCGTCCCCTCCATCGAGTAGATGCCCTCGATCACGATTAGCACCTGATCAAAAGAATAGGGACGCGAAGAATTGCGTTACCTTGTTGTACTTCTTGCCGGTTTTCGGGTTCGGGTGGCAGAGGGCGTCGCGGATCTTGCGCTCACAATCTTTAGCGTCTAAACAACGCGTTAATCGCCGGCAGCCCAAAACGAACTGTTGTGCTTGAAGACCTTGACGTTGGCGCCCGACATGCGACAGCCCAGCACCAGGGAGGCGTGGTTTAGCTGATCCGAGAGCACCAGCGAGTTCTAAAGCGAAATTTTGGCGTAAAGTAGCTTTAGGAAGATCTAGGTCAGAAAGAAGGCCGACACGTAGCAAAATAGGGTTATTTCGACTAGCAACACTGCTAAAAACTTTTAAAACTTTGAAAGAGTCGAAATTTGGCTCCGGAAGTGGCCATTGTTGGCCGAAAAATCGCCGTTTCTTATTTTTAATAAAATTTTGTACAGTTTGCACGTTTAAGAAAAGGACAAATCGTTTAGAAACAATTTCACCTGTTCTATTTCAAACTGGAGCCTAAGAAAACAAGTTGGTCCCCCCCCTCCCCCCGATAGTGCGAAAGAACCCAAAATATCTCGATACCTTATCAACGAGGGAGGCGATGTTCATCGAGTTGGTCCCAAATCCCATCGGGAAGCAGATCGCCTCCTCGACGCCGAGGTACTTGGCCACGCACTTTTCGACCTCACGTTGAGGGCTCAGGATCGCTAAAAAACAAATTTAACGAATAAATGAATAGGCTTAATTAAAAAAATAGTCTCGGTGAAAACTGGGATGCTCAAAAAACTTTGTAGAAAAGTGCAAAACCAACTAATAAATGCTAAACTAGACATATTTCAGACCCGGCTGTCCTAATAATGCGCCAAGTATCTAATATGTCTACCGCAGTCGAAAATCTTTATAAAGGTTGTTTTTTGCGCTAAAAATTTCTAGAATTTTCTAAAAACGCGTTAAAATTAGTAAGTTGACACCGATCAAAGGTAAATTTTTCGCTCTCGGTTCTACGCCGCCAGGCTTTAAAGTATACCAAAACGTAGCCCTTCATATGAAGAGTAAGAGTGTATGACATTTGAGCCAAAAATAGCGACGAATGAAAATCTTGGGGTTTGAAATCCCGGGATGCACCGAAAAATCGAGACAAGCTTTAAAATAAGGTCTTTCTAAATCTTATCTAAATCTAGTTAAATCTTTCTAGCAACTTTTGGAGCACGAAAACAACTTTTCCATAGGTTTCCGACTACGGACTAGCATATTGAGATATTCCGCACATTATAGGGCTTCTAAGCGGTAGGCGGTATCCTCAACCGTAGCCAAAATTCACGTACCAGCCTCGTTACGCGGAGCTCCGACGTGGACCCCGTAGCGATCAATGTACTGGGCAGCCTCGTTCGCGCACGGGCCATCGTTGTGCGAGAAGCCCAGGTAGTTGTACGATCCCATGTTGACGACCTCGGTCTCGTCGCCAGTGTACCTAAATTAGAAATTAACCTAAACTCGATAAAATTCCAGTTTCGAAATTGTTGTTCTCTTTTCAAGGTCCCCCGGGGTAACGTGTGCAATTTATTCGAGTAAAACCGAATCCTAACAACACAAAATTAACGCTTCGAGCAAAAAAGCGAGATCACAGGCGAAACAGGGATGGTTAGGTTGAGCAAAGTATACACAAGAATTTGATTCGGAATTTTTAAGCTATAAAAAGCGGGGTTAATCGATTAGACGTATTTGGTGATTTCCGAGTAGAAGGCGAGGACGAGGGCCGAGCCCATGCCGCGGAACACGTTGGAGAGGGCGCCCTTGTAGAACGACTTGATGCCGCCTTCCTGGAAAATGAGGTTCTGGGCTGTTATCGGGGCAGGGGGGAAGGGGGGTTTGGCCTATTTCTTTCCAGGAAAACATTGATAAAATACACATATGTGTGTTCCTTTTTAAGCCGTCTATAAGTATAATAAGTTCTTGAAAATAACAAACGAAAAAACAAAAACCGAATTAAAAACAATTTCGAAACACTTCCACGATTTATATTTGGAAAAGTGGCTCATAAAAAATTGCTGCCCCCGATAGCGCGAAAGAGGGAAAAACGCGGAAAAATTTATTTAAAAACGCCAAGGCTTAGGTAAAAGCTTTAACTGGTTAGATAAAGGGATTATAGCTTTTGTTCCGCTAAGAGCAAAACAAAAAACGATTTTTAAAGAAAAGTAAAAATTCCGGCAAGTTTTCCCGCCAAAAATTTCCATACCTTCAAATAGATCGTCTTCCAGCAATCTAACGTATTCTTGTAAAGCGCCGCCTCCCGGCCGCTGTTCATCATCATCCGGCGCCGAACCTAAAACATGTTTTTCTAAATAAAATACTATTTTCTTACCGTGTCCCACGGGTAGCAGATCAGCCCGGAAGTGACGACGGTGAACTGGCCAATGATCCAGGCGGCGAAAAAGTTGAGCTTCTTCCTATCGTCAACAACCGTCTGCGTGATGGTGTCGAACAGGCCGAAATAGCTGGCTCTAAACGGCAAAGATTATCCGGATTCTGAATTCAGCGCAATTACCTGTAGATGATGATGCCCTGGATGGAGGAGTTGAAGCCGCGATAGAGCCCGACGATGCCGTCACTCTTGATAATCTTCTTCGTGCAATCGATAAAGCCGGCGAATTCGCGGTCTGCCGCGCCCTTGCCTAGAAAATAGCAATGTTGGAGGGGAAGTGGCTGCAGTTTCTTTTTGCTGGGATGCTTTGTATCTGATAGATTTAAAATAATTTGGTTCTTTCGCATTATCGAGGGGGGGGGGGTAATTTATTTGTATTAATTTATAAATGCCTAGTAACTTAATAGGAAGTACTTTCATGATGTTTTTACCCAAATTAACTAGAAAAACTAAAATTTTGATCTTTTACCCACTTAAACCATATTTTAACTAGAAAAACTATCTAAAAAATTTCAAAATGTTTTTCAAAAGGCCGAAATTTTAATCAAAAAAGAAGTGGAAAAAATTATATTTTTTTTGGGTTTTTTATTAAAATCTGTAAAGTTTTTATGTTTAGTAAGAGTAAAACACACCTTAGCAGAATTTCCGATATTTATATTCAAAAGCTGGTTCCTAAGAAAAAGAAGAAGATGATGCGAAATAACCATTAGTTTTTCTACGTCACTTACTATCCCTAAACCTACTAAAAATATGAATTTTCCAAGTTTCTATATAGTTTTTCCACTTGAAAAATAGTTATATCTACAAAAGATAATTAAAATTCTTCGAAGGAAATTTGCTACTCACCAATATCGGTAGCGAGTCGAGTCCTAGCAAAATCGAGCGGGTAGATGACGACCAGACTTGTCGCTCCCGCCGCACCACCAGAAGCCAAATTCCCGGCGAAGAAACGCCAGAATTGCTTGTCCTTGTCGACACCGGCGAGGAAGAACTTCTTGTAGGTGTCCTAAAAATAAGATAGTGAATGAAAATAGCGACATTTTTAATTTACCTTGAAGGCAAAGTTGAGGGCTTGCTGCGGGAAGATGCGCATCACGTTGATGCCATTGCCGCGCCACAGGGTGATCGGGCCCTGTTCTTTGCAGACTCGCGTGAAGCAGTCGACGATTCCTAAAAAAATAGCCGTGAGAAGTAAAATACCGAGTACCTTTGTACCGCTTATCGGCGCTGATCGTCTGCTGGGCATCTTGAAGCTGAAATTTCAGGGTTAATCGGGAGAAAACATTTTTGATAATCGGTGTCCCAAAACAACCCCTCCCCTCTAGCGGTCCGGAGAAAGCTCGGATAAGGATCGTTTCTACACCATTCTAAAGCCCTGGAAAAAGCAAGAAAACAACCGCGTTTCGTTTTCCTAAATTATTTAGCGTTTGCTTGACATAAGTTTTGCTATGCGGGTTGTTTGTGCTTCAAAATGGGAATTAACTTGCATAAGCGCTTTTCAAAGTTTTTAGCCACAAAAGCACACAATTAAGTATCTTAAACACCCGCGTTTTCTCGCTTTTTCCTAGATACCTAAATCTTAAAAATCAGACGCTACTGCGGTCCACTAGAGGGGGTACTTTTTTGGGGCACCCTGTAGAAAACAAAAATGATTTTGATGAAGTGCTCCAAAAATTCACCTGTAACAAAATTTTGACGCGGTCAATGGGCGCGACGATCGTCCTAGCAAGCGCCGCCGAGGCTCCGCCCGCCAAAAAGTCGACGCAAAACTTGTAGACGACGGTGGACCCGGCCGGGGCTGCGTCTTTGCCCATTACCGGTCACTAAACGTGGAATAAACGAGTTCGAGCGCGCGTAGGAAGGCCAAGGGAAAACACGAGAAAAATGGGCCAAGCGACAAGGCGACAAAATTTATGAACGGAAAAGCTAGAACTAGCGCTAACAAAGAGCCGTTTTTTAGGGACAATCGAGTTTCCGTACCGGACTAAGCCTATTTTGTACAGAATTTTGCGCTGATACCGAACTTGTTCTCAAAAGCTGCGAAACGCTCGAATTCAAAAAGCTAGGAATGTTTTAAGTGCGAAAAGCACTAAAAAAGTGACCCAATTTCGACAAATTTTCGCCGCCAAAAGTTTTATAATTGTTTGAATCTGATCGTTTGCAGATTTTAAAAACGGGTCGGAATCAGCGTAAAATGACGCAAAAGAGCGGCTTGTTCGCTTACACAAACGCGCTTGTCCCTAAAAAACGGCGAAGCGTTGAAACCTGCAAAACTTTAAACCGCCAAATCGACCGACTCGATCATTTCGGTCGGATCGAGGGCCATGGGTTTTCCCAGTGGAGCAGCCGCCGAAAAAGAGACCATGGCAAGGGCGCGGGATTGCCATCTCTCTCTCTCTCTCTCTCTCTCTCTCTCTCACACACGGAGAAAAGGGCTGACAGACATATCAATTTGGGCGAGGGCCCAGAGTCTCGGTATTTAGAGATGAAGGAGAAAAAAATCCGGGGAGTGGGAAGAGAGAGAGAGAGAGAGAGAGAGAGAGAGAGAGACCGCAACAGGTGATCGCGCCCTCTGTGTGTACGATGCGATGGGGGCAAAGAACGAACAAATGGAAGTGAGTGCAGCTAGACAAAAAGAGAAAAAGATGCACATGATTTTCCGGCTATCAATAGTAAGAGGATAAAAATGCAGACATTTGCAGCACCGTAATAAACACGTCCTAACTGGGAAACATCTGACATTGACAGAAAAGGTAATCAGTAATCAGCATAGAAATGGAAAAAGACAATGAAAGACAAAAAAATAAATAGATTTTGCAGAAAACAATGAAAAATTCTCAGGATTTATCCAAATTATACAAATACATCGGAAAAAATAAATCAATAAGACCAATTATGATTCGATGAAAGCACATAAAACCACTTTGCCTGTTTCTCTGTTTTTACCCTCCAAAATAAACGTTGCTATTTTTAACTCACTCGTACGACCAGCCGAAATTCCGCGTGATCCGATCCTTCAGCCGCACAACCGCTCCGGGAACGCCGACGATCGGCCTGAAAGCTTTCAAATAAGATGCGAACGGAGGTTTAACCTGTTGACAACGTCGGTGGCCATCCGGTAGATGTTGTTCACGAACGTCGATTCGAAACCGTTGTCGAGCGAGGCGAAGCTCTTAAAAAACAGATATTTCGGATCCGTAGTGTTTCCGGATTAATCGGAAATTTTTCATCGACGTTTTGTAACTCCGAAACTATTATTTTAATAGTTTTTTATCTCATTTGCGCTATATTCCAAGTGCGAAAAGTTTTATATACCGCAAAAATCGCAAATTTTGGCGGACTAGGCCGTTTATCACCGAAATATCGAGATTTTCGTATGATCGAATATGTTCTTAAGTAAAACTCGAACCTCTTGCTCAACCCGCTCCCGAGCCTGCCCCGTCTCCGTGTCGATCAGCCGGTGCTTCCGCAGGAAATCGGCAAAGTAGGCGAACCCGATCAGCACAGCGAATCCGAAATAGACTAAAAACGTATTTTAACGCATCACAAAGCAGAGTTTACGCATTGCCGCCGAGACGACGCCGAGCTCTTCATGTTCGCTGATGGTGTACGGACCCCGCGCCCAGACGCTGAAAAAACGAATCTCATAAAAAAACTTTCTGGCTTATCGCGTGCGTATCGTAAAAGCCGCAAATACTCACAAATCGCTCTGCCCGGCCGCAGGTTCTTGTGGCTTTTGCTGATGTGCGGTGCTGGGTTGAACTTCTTCGAGTTCCTCTTCCTGGATGATGACGATTGAGCCCTCGCTTGAAGATTCATGAATCGTTGTCGACATCTGCAAAGACGGAACTCAAATCGAATGCACCGAAAAAAAGACAACAAAAAAAAAGCAAAACCAACCTCCCAAAAGCCGTCCCGCTCTCTCGGCTCCGTCGCCCGGAAACGGCGGTCAACTACCTGCAAGAAAAAAATATATGGAGCCCAAGAAAACGCGAGAACGGGAAAATAAAAAATCAGAAAACATAGTGAAAGTAATGAAACAAGAGGTAAAGAATTCCGAACCGATTTCCGAACTGGTGACCCGGACAATTTCAAAGAAATCCTTGGAAAAGGCTAGCCAACGGCGGTGACCACCCGAAAAAGGCTGATAACAGATTTCAGCAAAAAAAACCCGACAGATTGACGGGTGAATCTGCGCCGAGAACAGGGTGAACTGTACGAAACTATTCGAGGTTGAGACTCAAAAAGTATTTTTTGAAATTTTAGCGCGGGTTTTAAATAAAAACAAACCTTAATGCAGGTCTAGCTAGATCGCGATCAATTTGCGGCCATTATTTCCACATAGGCGCACCCAAATGTTTACTCACCCGCAAAAAACAGCGCCGTTATGACGTGGGCGGAACGTCTAACAACGACTTATAAGTTTTCCTTTCGCTATAGCGAATATATGGCCATATATGGCCATATATGACCAAAGGGACACATAAAAACGGAGCCGCAACTTCTTGGGTGAAACTAAAAGACTATAAATTCGGGTCCCTTCAAAATCAAAGAAAAAGGATGTCAAGCCAAACGAAAAGCTGACATGCGGATTCGGGCATATATTAACGCATGAGCAAATACGTATTTTACATATCGGGGCATTAAAAGCGGGATTAGAACTTCTAAAATCAAAACCAAAAGACGGGATAAATTTGGGATTACGTCAAAGTGAAAGAAATAGATCCCGGATCCAACCCCTCCCAAGGCTTTCGCTCAGCCCAAAGAAAACGAAAAAGCCAAAAGGCGTATTAGGCCATATATTGAGGGCGAGGAAGGGATTGTGTAGAGGGAGGAGAGCTCGGGCTGCGTGCGGCTGCCTCCGATGGCCAGTCATTTTTTCGCATTGGCTGTGGGTCGGGATGGGGGGCAACCGGCCAATCAATCTGAAACAACCGCCGCATCGCCCGATCCCCTGAAAAACCCTATTAGATATAGATTTCGACCAAAAAACGTGCCGAGTATAGCTTCGCCAATCAATCATCGGCGTCGCTTTTAAACGATCAAAAATGGGAAATTTCACTGGCTAGATTCACGATCAATGAAAAAGCCCCCCTGCTAAAAATGGTGACAACCGGCCACTCAAGATCACCCGGTCTATTTGTTCAGCTCTATTTGATTCACCGATTTTGAGGCGATTCATCCATCTAAAAGCCGGCAAACAAAGGGATCGACATCCGGCTGAAAGTCGGATCAAAACAATTTTCCTGCGCGCACGCGATAATAATGGAGGATAGACCGCTTTTTATCGCCAAAAGCTGTTGTATATTCGAGACGTATACATCCTTTTTGAGTGGGAAAAATAATCGAAAACTTAAAAAGGTTTGACTTTTTGACAGAACGTCTATGACAAATTTTCAAAAGAGCAAAAACTTCAAAAATTCAAAAAGATCCATAAATGGTTCAAGTTTGTTATCGGAAACTACTAAAAAACGATGAAAATATGATACATCACATTTTCTTACCATGCAGGTTCATGCTAAATCAAGAGAGGTTGGCTGCCGGGCCCCCCCAGATTAAAAAAATACCTGATCATCAAATCGGAAAGCTAGGGCCGGAAAAAAAAGAAAAAAGCCCCACGGCTTTTTCTGGACTCGTTGACCGGGAAGCCCGTCGAATCATAGGCAGAAAAAGGTGGGCGAGATAGGAGAGGAGGCGCCTGAAACTATTTGCAAGCTGATTTGGGAGGAGGGCGAGCGGCTGTGGGAAGAACACGCCATTTGATAAGCGCACAACGGTCGGAATGCCGGCCTCCCGTGAGAAAACTAACGGATCGGCGGCGTGGATGGTTCGTTGTAGGGAGGGGATCCCAGGAGGAAGAGTGAAGAGGACAAAATACAATGTCTATCAAACCCAGCCGAATGGGCAGACCCCCCATATATCCAAACCCGCCTTCCACAGCACTGAAAGCGGCGGTGCGTCTCAGCGAAACACAGATCCCGTCATCGTTTCTCTTTGCCGGCCCGCTCACCGGAAGCCCCGTCCCAAAACATTCCGCTTATCGTCGCCCGCCTACGCGTTGGTTTGAATAGGTGCAAAGTATGCGTTGGAACTGGCAAAGCAACCCCGGTACTGGTTCGTTAGCGGGGGGAGGCGGGGGAATTCTATGTTTCCGTAGACGCCTCCTAATCAAAACTGAAAAGTAACAGCCTTCTTTTAAAATGCAAAACCTAAAACAGTTTTTAAATGCTCGAAAATCATTGATTCTCGTGAAAATGTTTCAATTTTTTAATTTTAAAAATCTGCCAATCATCGGAAAGTGCCCATTTCACCCCAACATACGTTATTTTATTACTAGCGATGTCAAAACCGATAAAAAGTTTGGTTTATCCCCGGTAGAAACATCCTCATCCCCCCACTAACTAACCAGAACCTCTGTCGATCCACAACGTCGTTGAAACGATGATATGGAAGGGTACAGCAATAGAACCTCCAAAATCCGCGCTTGAGCTTTTCGATACTGGACTGTTAGCGGGGGGGAGCATAGTATTTTTTGATTGCCAAAAAGCTACCAAATATATTTAAATTTTGGACATTTGTGGTCATTTTTCATACTTTTTTGACGAAAAAGCCAAATTCTTCGAAAATCCGCCTGCTAACAGTCCAGTGCCAACTTTTGGTTAGAAGGTGAATTAGTACGATACTGCCAGGCACCAAACACAGAAAACAAAACGAGGGCACGTGCTGAATCACGATTTATTAGGGACAGACATCGAGGTTGTCGCGGGGTTAAATAACGATTCCAACACGTCGATCAAGCGCAATATAAAAAAAAAACACGAATTAACGATACAATTTCAACCGAGCAATGTGATTTTACGAATTTGTGTAAGTGAGTATGCCGGGGGCACGCGAGACTGAATTAAGCAGGTTGTGGCTTCTTCTCTTCGCCGTCGGCCGCATTTCCTCCTCCGTCCTGGGTGCCCGACGTCTCGGCCACGCTTGGACCATCGTGGATGTTGGCGGCTCCACTGGAAAAGCGGGAAATTACATGCGCAGCCGAATCTTGAAGTCAAACCCTTGTAAATAGTTGCTTGTGTCTTATCGAGGGGGATTTGGTCGAAAAATCGATCTTTTTGAGTTTTTTGGCAAAAATCTCCAAAGTTTTCCGTTTAAGAATAGAAAAAAGACAATTTAGAAACACCTGCCCGATTTATATTAGAAAAACTGGATCATAAGACAAAAAATTTGGTACCCCGTTATTGCGAAAGAACCGTAAAACAAAAAAATTTGTAGCTTGAGAAAAAGTGGCTTTTTTCTGTTTTCACTGGGAATTTGGGGGAGCCCGGTTTCAAAATGTGAGGCACGTAAAAGTAAAAATCTAGTAAAAGTGAAGATTCCCATCTGACGATTTTCCCTTCGAAATCCTCACTAAAATCTACGTTATATGCTCAAAAGCAGCTAGAAAAAATTCCTAAAATGCGCCGACCCCTTGCGCAATTCCCTAAATTCCGTAAAAGACAAAAAAGTACGACAACGCTTTTTGAGACCCCGTATATTAGAGGTCAAAAACGCTTACGGCTCCTCATCACCGCCGATGACGGGTCGCTGGAAGTGGCCGATGGCGCCGAGCAGGTTGACCACTTTCAGCATGTCGGTGCGCTGTTTCTCGCGAACCCAGATGTAGTCGTTGCAAAAGTTGACCATGTCCTGCGGGATCCCGGGCGGCATCTTGGGCGCAGTGTGGCGTTGCACCTAAAAAATAAAAGTTACGGAACAATGCGATGCGTACCAAGCCCTCCTTCACTTCACCGTTCGTCTTTCCGGCATGCGGGAGCTCGCCGTTCGAGTAGATCTCGACCACCAGACAGCCAAACGCCCAGACGTCCGTCTTGTAGGTGAACGTGCCGAGCTGAACAAGGTTTTAAAATTAACAGCTCGGAAATTACCGTCAAAATCTCCGGGGCGAGCCAGCGAATCGGCAGGCGCTGGTTCGCATTTTTCGGCAACAAGAACACGGGTCCACGCACCGACAGCCCAAAATCGCTGATGCGAAGCTGAAACGACACTTTGGATACCGCAAAAAAGTTCTGAAATTTGTTACTAGACTGTTATCAGAGGGAAACCAAATTTTCCAGTAATCCTGTACAGCTCTACACATTAAGCTTAAAATTTTCCGATACAAAAAAGCTCGTAAAAATTATGACATTTTTTAAGGCTTTCTAGCAATCAAAAACTACCAAAAACACTATAAAAAATTATATAATACTAACAGGTAGGCTTACGGAAAACAACAAACAGAAATTAGCTTCCCCCTGCAAACAGTCCAGTACCATAAATTTTGAAAAACCGAAAACAATGGATAAGTGAAAAAAGAATTCTTCTTGGCACGCACCCGTTCGCCATCGTACAGACAATTCCGGGCCGCCAGATCGCGGTGGATGACCTCCTTCTGGTGGATAAACTCGAGGCCACACGCACACTAGAAAACAATCAAATAACAACATGTAAATCGTCGAAAAACCTGGAACATGATGCGCTTGAGCTCACGGCGCGTCGGCTTCGACTCGGACTTGAGGAATTTGAGCAGATCGCCGCCTTGGATCAGCTCCAGCAGAATGTACATGGGATTTTCGAGAACAGCGACGCCATACGCACGAACCTAATCGAAAAGTTTCTAAAATAAGGAAATGTCGCCCACCACATTCGGATGAATAAGGTCACGCATTACACGGCTTTCCTGCATGATTTCCTTGCGCTTCTTCTTGGCGGCCGCCACCTCGCCTTTGGCCTAAAACTAGGTGCTCAGAATCGTGAGAAAAGTTACCAGTTTAATTGCAACATCGACTTGCTTCGGCTGAGGCCCTTTCCGGTTCAGCTGGCCTTTCCAAACCTAGAATTTAGGCGTTGAATTTGCTGAAAGAGCGGGTTTACCTCGCCAAATTCTCCATTGCCCAGCTTTTTCTCCAGCTTCACGTCCTTGTGCTCGTACTCCCAGATCTGACGCGGTATCGGCTCCTCGAGACGGCATTTTTGCTGTAAAAAGGGTGTTGAGAAGAGAAGTAGAAGTAGACACCTTGGCGTCAGCGCGGCTCTCGCCGGCGGCCGGATCACTGGTGCTGTAGTAGTTGATGAGGTCGGTGAGGTTGCGAAAACACTAAAAAAAGCTCGGTAAGAGTCTAGTCCAAAATGACCACCTTTTTTCTGGTCAACGGAATACTGCTCTTCGACCAGATGGACGATCATGTGCTTGATGAGTCCCTTCGGCTTGTCGGCCTTCTCCTTGGTCAGCCCGCGCTTTCCGCTCATGTTCACCGATTTAGCCGTTGTCCCTCGGCCGCTGTCCTGAAGCAAATCGAGTCATTATTGTAGCCCATCATCATTTCTCACCCGCTGACTTCTATTCCGCCTTGGGCGCACCACCGGGCCGCCACCATCGTTCTGGTAGAAGGAGATGATGATTTCCTTTTCTTGCTTCTCCTCGGGCTAAAAGGGGTTAAACTGAATGCTCGGCAGTGTCGAAAATTTTTTTGTGCTCCTCGCCTAAAACCTGGGTCCTTGGTGCTGGAATCGGTTGAGAAATGTTCACAAAGTAAGCCTGTCAGTTCAAGGTTCAAATTTAACAGAAGTTAACTTTTCAATCTTGTACCAATTTTACTAGCAATTTTTGGCGCAAAGGAACAATTTTTCGAACAGTTTTGAACCTTCTTCTTTCAACTTTTCAACAGAACTAGGGCGAACCTTTTGAAATCCTCGGCACATTTAGGCCCTGAACTGGTATAAACTGGTGATATTTTGAACATTTCAATGCAGATTCCGGCGCGAGAAACTGTTTTCCGGGCGAGGAGCATAAAAATATAGCAACGCCGGTAGGGCTGACCTCTGAGATCCGCACCAGGAATTGCCCATCTTTCACGAGCAGGGTGGCGATGTCTTCACGGGGCAGAAGTCCTGGAAAGAAAGCATTGTACAAATGGAATTACAACGAAGAATCAGGAAAACGAGAAAATCAAGTGAACAGAGGAACGAACCATGGTAGTAGACGAGGTTAATGACATCTTCGGGAGGGAAATCTGTTCGCCGCTCTTCCATGGGAAGCAGCGGTATATGTGAGGGGGATTATGGGCACAGAACGGACATCATTTTGATGTAAAAATTAAATGCAAAGATTTTAATGCAAATGTCTACGCATTTCTAAATTTTAGCGCTTCGCGAGGGCAAGGACGCGCAATTTGGACAAGTGCCCAAAGTTATATAAAAAAGTTTATAAAATTTTTCTAAAGTGCTAATAGTTTTCGAAAGTTTCTAAATGTTGCCGTTTTCTAAAAATGACGATAGTTTCTGTGCAATTTTTTTGAAAAATTTTGTGCTAAAAAGAAATTCCGCTCTCGTCTCACACTCAAGCCGCTCTGAAAGGAGAAAGCCAAGCTGGCTTTGTATTTTTCTTCTCGCACTCAAGCCGCTCGCAACGAAGAAAGTCAAGCTGGCTTTCTCCTTTCAGAGGGTAGTCCGCGATGATACGGGCTGCTCCGGCTTCCGGCGTGGCGAAGAGGTTGGCCCGTGGTTTGTGCGTGTGCCCATGTTATGCGTGTGCCCAGTGATCTCCAAACAGACAAGCGGAACGCACGAGAGAGAGCGAGAGGAGAGAGAGAGAGAGAGAGAGAGAGAGAGAGAGAGAGAGAGAGAGAGAAAGAGGGAGAGCGAGAGAGAGAGAGAAAGGGAGAATAATGGCGGCCTTTTATTCGGTATGGGGAAGTCACGTAGCATTCTTTGGCGGGTTTCTTATAGGAAAAATGAGTTTTATAGATATATAGATACAACGGATATAGTCGGCAATTCAATCTAATCGGCAAATTTAATGAGGATTAAGTCGGATCGGTGGTCGGAATGGTGGTGCGGGATCGGTTGGCCGGGACTCGTTGGCGGCTATTTCGCGTTCCATCCGTGCTCGCGGAGGATTGTGGCGGTGCATTGGCGGCATTCCCTCGGCTCTGTAATTTTCGTTGGCTTCACTTCAAAAATTCTGGGCTTACGCTGGCGTTCGGCGCGGAGGGCAGCGTGTAGGTCCGGGTCCTCGCAGTGGTCGTCGTTGCAGAAGTTGCTGAATAGGAAGGAAGGTTTTTATGCTCAGAAATAGCCAAACACAATGTACAAAAGGTCAAGTCTCATAATGCCGATTTACTAAATGCCGACTATTATAATGTCGATTTTACATGACGACGATTCTTAGAATGCCGATTCTTGTAATTTACGATTTTGCGACTGTTCTTAGGGCGCTAATCCATTGTCCTCCCGAGGTATTTTCGGTATTTTCGCTTATTTTCGGTATTTTTGCAAAGCCATTCGATCGAGCGTCGAAAAATATACCAAGTGTATTAATTTGAGCCCACAATAATGTAAAATAAAAAGTGATAGTCAAAAACTTCTGGCTGAGGGGGGGGGGTAAAGTAGTAATTCTTTTGGAGTGTTTAGACTTACGCCACTTGGTTTGCATGCGTGGAGCAGAGCGTAAGGTGGCCGTAGCGTCGCTTCCGGGTCAACTCCAGGCTGCAGACGCCACAGATCAGCTCCGTCCGGAGGAGCGCCAGCAGCCTCTCGCGGCGCAAGCACTCGAGCAGCTCCGGGTTGTAGGAGCCCTAAATATACACTTCAACTTCGGCCCGCACATGCCTTGCCGAAGCAATGAGATATGGTTTCGCATCTGTTTGTCTCTTATTAAAGGCCTCTGGGACGCTGGGGTACTCAGCCGCAGGGGTTGCGGCTGGCTGCAGAGCGCGGACACCGTGCCGGCGTACAGAGGAGCGCCGCGTGGGGAAAGGGGGGTGCTCGAGCCCGAATTTTCCCTGTGATTCTCTACGGCCCTATATTAGAATATAAAGCATTTTAGAGCATTTTACACGGCTTTTTTTAGATAAAAACAAATAATAAAAAATAGAAAATTTTGACTTTTTGGTCAAATTTTATGTAAATTACCAAAAAGGGTCAATTTTCGGATTTTCAAACTTTCAATAAGATTTTTAATAACCTTCTAACCACTCAAAACTGCTAAAAACTCTATAAGCATACATAAAGCAGGTACGTATACATAAACAGGAAGCGGTTCCCCCTAGCAAAAATTTTTCGCCCCGCTAACAGTCCAGAATCCTGAGCCTTCCGAAGGATTCGGCGTTGTAAAAATTCGCAATAATATAAATTCGGTGATATGATAATTCGGCGTTATGAAACTTTGTCACTATGGCAATAACCCAAAAATAAGCTCTCACCTTCCTCGCGAACGTCAGCCGGCGCGGACCGGCTGTCTGCATCGATTCGGTCGAGATCTCCGTCAGCCCGGAGACGTGTATGATGATATCCCCGGCCTGAAACGGTCGAAAAAACTGACGCGGCAATCTCTCACATGTGGAGGTTGTCAGGACTCGAAAGCGGCTCCAAAGTGGGGGACGATAAAATAAGGTAAAGGTTGCTTAACGGGGGGGGGAAATAACGGAGGTGGAAACCATTTTTCCCCCTATACGGACCCGCCGTGCCAATTCTAGCATGCCATCGGATCGAGCGTCGAAAAATATACTGAGAGATTTAATTCAGCCCGAAATACCAAATACCACAATTTAAAATTATTACTTTTTTAAGCTAAAAAGTTTAATCAATTAAAAATCGTTAAAAATTAGGTTTTTTGGGTTGAAATTAAATCTCTTAGTATAATTTTCGACGCTTTATCCAATGGCGTTTTCAAAATAGCAGGATATTCTTTATAAATACAAAAATTGGTCCCCCTCTCCCCGTTATTTGTCCCCCCCCGTTAAGCAACCTTTACCTAAATACCATTTCTTCGACTCCAAAGTGTAGTTTTGAAAACCAGAACATCTAAATAAGACTAACAAGCTCGATTCCGAGTATTTCTGAACATTTCCGACCAAAAAAGCAAAAAGCAAAAGATTAACCGCGGGCGGGATCGAACCCGGGTCGTTTTCCTGATAACCCAAAGATAAACCAAAAAAACTCGGATTTTTTGCTTTCGTTGTTTAACCGGATGATTTGATATGGATGTCAATAAGGAATCGAAATCCGATGACGAGCTGAGACCACCACTTGTAAATAGGAACACCGGTAAAGGTTACTTGACGGGGGGGACAAATAACGGGGGTGGAAACGATTTTTGTATTATAAAGAATATCCTGCTATTTGTAAACGCCATCGAATAGAGCGCCAAAAAATATACTAAGGAATATGATTTCAGTCCAAAAACCCGCATTTTTAGACGATTTTAATTGATTAAACTTTTTAGCTTAATAAAGTAAAATTTTTAAATTCTGGTATCTCGGGCGAAAGTAAATCTCTTAGTATAATTTTTGACGCTCTGTCCGATGGCACTAATGAAATCCCGACGAAAAAGCTGAAAACGCCGAAAATGATGATCACCTTATGGTTATGCTTCATGACCAGCCAATGTTTTTGTTTTTTTTAATAACTAATTTATAATACATTATTTCGCGCTCAAATTAAATATCTTCGTATATTTTTTTTGATGTTTTATCTGATGGCATCCATGAAAGCACAAGCATTTACCTGCAGCAACTGAGCCCACTGGGTGCCGGTCTCCACCTCGAGCACGATGCCCAACGAGTTGAGCGATAGACCGGGCTGGCTGCACGTAGTAGAGCCCCAGAGGATGCCGTAGCCGTCGCTCCGCAGCAGCTCCTGAAAGAAACAACGGTCAATGTCATTGAGACCGGGAAGGGGGGGGGTCTTTCGCATTAGCGGGGGGGGGGGGATAAATCCTAAAAAGGTAAGAGTTTACTTTACCCCCCCACAGCCGAAGTGTCTCAAAGTTGTCGGTATTTTCGCTTATTTTGTCGGGATTTTTGCAACGCCATTCGATAGAGCGTCGAAAAATATACTACGAGTTTTAATTTGAGCCTACAATAATGTAAAATAAAAAAGTTATAGCCAAAAACTTCCGGCTGGGGGGGGGGGGTAAAGTAAACCGTAGCCCCTAAAAATCTCACCCGCCCCGGCCGCCAAATTTCTTTTATACAAGTCCGGAAATACCTGACAACTTAAAGGGATACCCAATGTTTCGCCGGCAAATATATAGTTATGTATTCCGGGGAGTGCAAATGACGCGCGAATTTTGTGCGGCAATGGGCCCAAAGCCGCACAGAATTCGGACCCCTTTCCCTCTTGTGACGTTCCCATCCCATCCAATGTCTTGCCACTATGGCCTAATGGATAGCATCTAGGCCTACAAAACGGGGGGGCCCGGGTTCGACCCCCGCCCGCGGCATGGTTTTTGCTTTTTGAGCCCCGAACGGGTTGGGCATCCCTTTAATAAGCAGCGTTTCGAAAATGTTTGTAGTAACAGCAAACCAATCTTGGTCATTCGGGGCCCAAAAAAATCTATTTTGGGCAGATTTATAAGGTTTTCTGACGGTCAAGAATAGTAAAATCCGGCTGCGAAACGCTTTCGCTATCCTACTATATATAAAAAAAATAGTGTCTGTGTGTGTGTCTGTGTGTGCCACTTTGCATCCACTTCCGGATGTCTGTCCGGAGGATATCTCGATAGGGGATGAATTTTAAGGTATGTATGATACGTCATTAGGTGCGTAATGGCCTGGAGATGACTGCACGCCTATCAGATTTAACAAAATCACCTATTTTCGACATTAAATTTAAGTTTTTGTAAAAACCTCTTTGTTAGGAACAATTAGCGTAGACCGGAAGTGGGGTTTCGACTATATAAGGGGGCTCAACAGGTAGTTTTTCATTTTTTGTCATCTGAATTCAGGAAAATTACGCAAAGTGAAGGATAAAACGGGGTCAGACGGGGCCAGGGTTGAAAAGTCGCGAAGCGGCTTTTCAACCCTGGTTTATCTTAAAAAATACCCCAATATTGCGAAAGGACTGGATGGCGGAAGCGTTAAAATTGTATACTCCATTGCGGCGCAATAAGCAAAAGGTTCGAAGCGGCTAAAAACGAAGCTTTCCCCGGAAAGGGTTTATCTTCCTTGAATGGCACATTTGCGCCAAAAAGAGATGCAATCGGCACCGCCGTTTCACCAGGCAAGAGAGTCACGATCTCAACACCAACTGACCATACGGGCCAGCTCCTGGGACGTGTAGCCCGACCAGCGCAGCTTCTCGGCGCCGTCCTTCGCGGTCTGAAACCGAACTTTTTTTCGGCCCAAGCATAGATTTTTTTGTATATAAATAGTGGAACTGTTTCTAAATTGTTTATATTTACAAAATTTAATTAAAAAATTTAATTTTAGGTCGAAAAATCAATTTTTTCGACCCAAATATGACAAATTTTCGAATTTTTCAAGCGTTTTTCCAACTTTTTGAAAAGTTTTTCCGATTCAAATAGGCTTAAATTTTGCTAAAAAGAATGTGAAAACACTTTAGATTTGATCACTACCCCCACCAGGGCTGACAGGAAAAAAAGTCACTTCGGCGTTCTCTTGGCACATTGGTTTTGTGTTCGCCTGCCGCGCACAAGGCCAAGGTTCGACCCCCGGCCGTGGCATAGTCTTTTGCTTTTCCATTAAAAGCTGGGAGTTGAATGTTTCTTTAGCCGGGGCACCCACCTTCGACGTCCACTTCGACTGCAGCCAGCGGCCGACCCGCTTCAGCATCCTCTGCAATGCGGTTCAGGTTAACGATTGACGACGCCGTGTATGACCGGCGATACACGCTGTCCCAAGTAGGCCCGTGGGACAGCATGTATCGCCGGTGATACACGAGAGTTTGCTGCTCTCAGACGAGTTATTCTACTCCGCTCCGCGACGATTAATTCTCGCCCCGTCTGAGCCATTAAATCCTGCTTTTTGCATAACATAACCGTCGAACGTTCAGTGACCGACCAAAGGAACCTGGCGAATGCGGCGGCGAGCCGGTGACTTGGCCGAAGGAGTCGGCGCCTTCTTGGCTTGAGCCTGAAACACATCAAATAGAATATCCTATCCCCTGCACAATTCCTAAAAGATCTCTGCTAGCCTGCTTCTGCACAATTCCTAAAAGATCTCGGCTAGCCTGCCTCTGCACAATTCCTAAAAGATCTCTGCTCAACGCCTACAATGGTGGAGTTGAGCACCGTCGGCGAGTTGGTCTTCATCGCGTCACCCGGAGGCGTGGTGGTCATCATCGCGTCAGCCGTCGGCGTGGTGGCTTCCTGTCGCGGGGTCGTACAGGCGCCCTTAAACATATGGAATATACTTTCTCTGCACTGCACAATTCTAAAGGACTCTGCTCAACGCCTACAATGGTGGTGTTGAGCACCGTCGGCGAGGTGGTCATCATCGCGTCAGCCGTCGGCGTGGCGGCTTCCTGTCGCGGGGTGGTGCAAGCGCCCTTAAACATATGGAATATACTTTCCTTTGCACTGCACAATTCCTAAAAGATCTCTGCTAGCCTGCTTCTGCACAATTCCTAAAAGATCTCTGCTCGCCTGTTCCTGAACAATTCCTAAAAGATCTCTGCTCAACACCTACCGGGGACTCGTTGTGGGCCGTCGGCGGCGTCTTGCACTCGACCGTGGGCGGCGTCTTGCTCTCGGCAGTGGGCGGCGTCTTGCACTCGGCAGGGGCGGCCGTGGTGAACTCTGCAGTGGGCGCCGTCGCGTCTTCTTTGCGGGTGACGCAGAGCACCTTAAACACATGGGTATCTTTCCTTTGCCTCAAATAACTTTCTAAAAAGATCTCTATGACTAGCCTGTTCCTGCATAATTCCTAAAGGATCTCTGCTCAACCCTACAGGGACTCGGTCTCGAATGATCCTTACCTCGGGCCCAGAGTTGCCGCCGGGCATCATCGCTGAAGTGGGTATGTGGAAATAATGCGTTGGTTTTCGTTATTCAAACGCAATTTTGCATGTTAATTACATGTTGTTGAAGGAATTCAAATTTTTAAGGCATTGAAAAATCGACATTCTATTTCGTTGCCGTAAGATAGGTACAAATAGTATAGCGGGGGGGGGGGAATAAAATGTCGGGGGCCACCCAAACTTTTTTTAATGATAAATGTATTCATAAATATGCTTTTTTCGGCTCTTAGTATATTTTTCGGCCCTCTGTCGAATGGTATCAGGTTGGAAAGAAAGTAATGGCACAAAATCTTTAAACCGCTGTAAAAACCCGCAGGAACGTCCGATTTGAAAGTATGATATATGGTTTGGTAGATCTTCGGATGCTCTATCACAAGACCACCCTCAAAACGCACAAAAACTGACGAACGCGAAGAGTCAAGCATCAGAAGTTTCGCAGAAAATTAGGTGAAAGCTTCGAAGCGAGATATCTCTGCATACAGGCATTTGCATACAATATTTTTAACAAAAATCGATAGCCCTCGAGGAGTAGATATCGATAGATGTTGAGATCATCAAAATCCGACACTGGATGGCCGAGATATGCCCCCTAGAAATTTTGTCCGCTTCTTAGAACTTTTCTCGAAATCCCATACATTTGGTCTGCGCGAGGCAAAACTGTTGTGCCTGTTCAGCCTCCCAAACCAAATCCAGAAAATGCATTGATTTTGAAGGCAACCATATCTCGGCCATCCAGTGTCGGATTTGATGATTCCAAGCATCTATCGATATCTACTCTCAGGGCTACTCGATCGGTGTTAAAGTATCGATAATGCAAATGCCTGTAAATGCAAAGATATCTCGCTTGGAAGCTTTCATCGAATTTTCTGCGAAACTTCTGAGGCCTTGATTTTCGCGTACATTAGGTTTTGGGTGTTTTGAAAGTCGTCGCGTGATAGAGCATCCGAAGATCTACCAAACCATATATCATACTTTCAAATCGGACGTTCCTGCGGGCTTTTACAATGGTTCAAAGATTTTGTGCCATTACTTTCTTTCCAACCTGATATTTTCAAAATATCGAAAGTATTCAAAACGCCGAAAATTTGTCCCCCCATATTTTCAAAGATAGTTTTTAGGCTATAAAACTTCTATGATACATTTTTCGCTTTGTAAAAAAATCTTGTAGTCTATTTTTTGACGTTCTATCGATTGGCGGTTTCAAAATATCGAAAATTTGACTCCCCCGTTATCCTATGTGCTGCCTATAGATTTTCCTCAATTTTTGTTGATTCAATAAAAAATTTCTATGACATTATTTCGGGCTGAAATTAATTATCTTAGTATATACAGTGGCGGTCAAAAGTTTATAAAATTTCGTGTTTTGACCATAGCTCGGCATTCGTATGCATCAGAAGCTTAATATTTGGCACACTTGTGCATAAAGTGATGCAGAATAGAACGACAATACTCTTTTTACTATAAAAGCGTCCACGAAAAAAAATTGGAAATTTTTACGAAAAGGGCCGCGTCAAAAGTTTATAAAATCTTGGTAAAGGCCTCAAATATAGACGAGATCGGGATTCCCAAGGATGACCATAGTTTGTAAATATCAACTTTTGACTCCGGCTATAGTTTCCCGTGGCAGATTTGACTTGGAACTTTTTAAAGAATTTTTTCTAAAACACTATTTTAGTATGGAAATTGCACTTTTTCGGCTCCAGCGTACCGTATCTTTTCGTACGTAGGAATAAATTATACGCCCGGAAAGCGCATCTAAAGAGGAGCATTTTGGTGTATATAGCATCACATGTAACCGGTCCTTCATCGAATACTGGACGGTCGAAGCTAGCGGCAAGCGGACATCATAGTAACGGGGAGCCCGGGCCTGTCCAGACAGCCGAAATTGGCGAGGCCCGGTCTTCCACCATCTATATCTTCTTCCGTTCACAATATCGTGCATTGAATGCTATACCAAAATGCTCCTCTTTAACTGCGCTTTCCGACCGTATTGTTGTATTCATGCGTACGGAACGATACCGTCCGGTGGAGCCGAAGTGCAATTTTCATACTAAAATAGTGTTTTAGAAAACATTGTCTGGAAAGTTTGGAGTCAAATATGCAACGGGAAACTGTAGCCAGAGTCTAAATCTAACATTTAAAAACCTTGCTCATCCTTGGGAAGGTCGATCTCGTCTATATTTGACGCCTCGAACAAAATTTTATAAACTTATGACGCCGCCTTCTTCGTAAAACTTCTAAAAAAATTTTTGTGTGCGTTTTTATAATAAAAAAAGTTATGCCGTCGTATTCTGCATCACTTTATGCACATGTGTGCCAAATATTAGGTTTCTGTTACAAACGAGTGCCGAGCAATGGCCAAAATAAGAAATTTTTATAAACTTTGACCGCCACTGTAGCCTGCTCGGCTCTTCCCCGATTCCTAAAAGATCTCTGCTAGCATGCCAATATGGCTGTGGCTTTGAGCAGGGTGAGAACAACATTTTCCTTACATTAGATCCATTTTTTATTCAGTTGCCGTAAAGTGAACCAGCCAATCTAAAATGTTTATAACTGTTTTTAGAAGCGAGTCCCGAAGGTTTTTCAACCGAAAAATGGAAGAACTCGACGAGATATATCGATTTTACTGAGTTATCATCGAGTGCAAGACTCCGCCATTATCCGCACGGTCGCGTCGTGGGTGCAGGGTAGAGCTGAAACACATAGAATATACAGAATGTAGTTAACGCTACAATCCTATCCTATAAGCGATCCTATCCTATAAGCGAGAAAAGTATGTGTTTTTTCTGTACGGCCGTTTTCTCGGCCGTCAGGCCGCGTTTCGAGCTGATTTTTGGCATGGAGGTGGGAAATGTCACTCATAAAAAACGGTTTTTCGGATTTTTCGAAATTCTTTGATTTAACGATTTTACAAGCAAAAATCTGAAAAATCCTTAACATTTTTGGGTACGCACGTTGTCCGGAACTTTTCTCGGCCCCTAGAGGGAATCGGGGTCTCATTTTTGGAGGGTAGATGGGAAAAGTAATTCCCCAGATACATTTTTTCGGATTTTGCAAAAATCTTTAAAATAAAGTTTTTATGTGTATTTTTCTGCAAGGTCCTTAATAAATCGCGGAGTGGGCCGTGGTGTCCAGGCCATAACTCGACGCCCTGATGGAATTCCGGGCTGAAATTTGGACCGTTTATGCAATCAAGGGTGGGGATCATGCGCATCTTAGTATCTTTGCAAAATTTCCACAGATTCAAACTCGAAAAAGAATTTTGGAAGTGACCAGAAGGCCTCCCTCCGGGATCATTGCACATCCTCATCTTTGCCCCCGCCTCCCCAGGACAGAACAGGCCTTTCCCGCCGCCACCCCCCATGTCCCCCTTGGTGTAATGGATTAGCTCTCGGCCTACCAGGCGCAGGGTCGTGAGTTCGGATCCTGGGAGAATTTCATTTTTTGCTTTTTGGTAGTTCGGTTTCAAAACATATGTCTAGGATCTCGGTGTGCAAGATTCAGGTCTGGCTCTCGCTCTAGCGCCGCAGGCCAAAGAAAAAGCCCCTGGCTCGGGCTCTCGCGCCGCAGGCCAGATCCTGGAGAAAAACCAGTAGCTAGCGCCGCAGGCTCAAAGATTCTAGCGCAACGCTGGCTCTGGCGCCGCAGGCCAAAGAATGGCTCCTTGGCTCGGGTTCTAGCGCCGCAGGCTAAAAAAAGAGGGTATTCAAATTCATGGTTCCTGGACGTCTTTTTCCACTGGTACTACAATACACAAAACGCTGTAAATATCCCCCGCCCCCCTCCGTTATCCTATGTGCCGAATGACCGAGATTGGTTTGCTGTTACTGCAAACATTTTGAAAACGCTGCTTATTCAGTTGTCAGGTATTCCAAGAATTGTAGGAAAAAAATTTAGCGCCGGGGGCGGGGGAGATTTTTAGGATTTATCCCCCCCCGATAATGGGAAAGACCCCCCTCCCGGTCTCAATGACATTGACCGTTGTTTCTTTCAGCAATTACTTCGCACTGAGGGGTACACCATAATCTGGGCGTCATCGACGCGTATTATGTGCGTCGTCGGTGCAGGGTAGAGCTGAAACACATAGAATATACAGTACCAGCGCTGTATTTTCGAAAATTTGCGTCTAGCCATCAATAGGAAATGTCGCAAATGGCATGAAATAGTAATGCAAATTTTTCGAAATCCTGATTTTCGGAAAACTGATTTTTTAGAATACGATTTTTCGAAAATATGATCGATAATTTTCGAGAATATGAAAACCATTGGCATGCTAGCAGAGATCTTTTAGGCTAGATCTGTCGTTTCCAGTAGAAAAATCCATTTTTTTTATTTAGTTACCGGATCGTGAATTAGCAAATGTAAAATGTTTATGACTTTTTATAGACGCAGGTCCCAATAGTTTTTTTTAACTTTAAATGGAAGAACTCGACGAGATATATCGTCCAGTAGAAAAATCGGCATTTCATTTAGTTATCGTAAAGTGACATTTAGCTAGTCACTAGCTGCTAGTGTGTACGACACCGGTGTCGAAACATCCATTTTTTAGCCTATTTAGTTGCCGGAAAGTGAAATAGCCAATTTAAAATGTTTTTAACTTTTTTTAGAAGCTGGCCTGGACGGTTTTTTGAACTGAAAATGGAAGAACCCGACGAGACCAATCGATTCCAGTAGAAAAATCGACATTTTATTTAGTTAATCGTAAAGTGAAATTTAGCTCCGTGTATCACTCCGCGATTATACACACGGGCGCGTCGTTGATGCAGGGTTTGGCTGAAACACATAGAATATACAGTATGTAGTTTGCTCCGCCTTCCCCGATGCCTAAAAGATCTCTGCTAGCATGCCAATGATTGCGCGATCTTAAGCCATATTTTCGAAAAGTCAGATTTTTGAAAATTTGCGTCTAGCCATCAACAGGAAATAGTCGCAAATGGCATGAAATAGTAATGCAAATTTTTCGAAATCCCGATTTTCGGGAAACTGAC